CGCTCTTCCTGGACTCGTCTGAAATCATCTGAGAGATTCATCAGCAGCTCATCCGCTGGTTTCTGAAGCAGCACTTAAATACAAACACAATGGAGTCATCTCCGCTCCTAACCACAGTCCCAAAACATCAGCCTCACTTCTTCCAGCTACATCCACTCCCAACACTCATTTTTACTGTAACCTCCTTCCAGACGGCACCACTCCTCTGCCTCACTCCTGCCACCACCCACGACTATATAACCCACCAAGTCAGCATCCCCAGAGTGAGAATGCCCCGACCCACCTTAAATAGGTGAAGCTCTGAAAATGTGTATGTAATTTCATAGCACAGAATTACCCAAATTAGCTAGGCCTTAATCTTCCAGGGACAATAATAACTTACTGCAATGGTGTCTGTATCTCCCATGCCCACATGAGGTTCACGCAACAAGCCTGCCCCAGCTTTACTCACTACACAGAGATTTCTGCTGCTTCTTCCTGAGGGCCATATTGCGATGCCAGTTCTGGAGAGCCTTATGCTGTGACGGTGGAGTCCAGTCAAACTTTTTCCTCTTCCCTCCCCCTTGTTTCTCTCTGTACTTCTCTAAAGCTGCCATTGTAACATCTAGGTGGGAATCGTCAATCAGTTCAGCTACCTGGACAGAAAATAAAAGGCTATAAACAGCATCTCCAGCCGTGAACAGCCATCACAATAGCAAATGGGGCAAAGAAAAAGAGTGCATTGGATTGCCACTGTATTTATTCAACCGTATCTGGATGGAAGAGAGGCCTGGCCTGCACAACACCACATGCGAGCAACTGTATAACTGGGCATCAGTAATGGTGCCATTGCATCACCAGCTTCTCCCAGTGGCTACTCGGCCTGGATACTCTCGATAGAAGTGCATATGCAACTGGGGCCTGAAACTGCAACGGCTTTTTCTGTGGTGCTCTCCTCCCTACGGGACTTGCTAGAACTGCTGCAGCAGTACCTATAAAGGCAAATAGTTTGCAATGCAGCTGAGTAAACCATGTCCTAGGCCCAACAGGTACCTGAAGCACACCAATTTAGATCAAAAGTGGCTGCACTCACCATTCTGTCTGGAACAGTACTAGTGCACAGCAGCACATTCATCATTTCACAAACCCACCTGAACATCTCCTCTAGCCACGGCTTCTTTCTTGAACTCCTGAAGACTTCCTAAGATGCTGTGCGGAAGAATCTGTTCACAGCTACCAGCAAACTGTCCTCCTGGCCCTGCAGCAATGGGAGACAGATTAGAGCCATTAGAACTGGGTGCGAGACCACAAGACACCTCTCATCTCTTTATAATGGGTAGAAACAATAGCCGAGACTACACAGTTGTAAGATTTATTTCTGAACTGCAAGCAGTTTTAGGAAGACTGAGTGTGAAAGGTAAGAGGTGAAGTTTAACCTTACCAGAATAAGTCAGTGGTTTCTTGGACTCTTCAGCATCAGCAGGATAAGCTACAAGGAGATGGGTTTTCTTCCCAACTTCTTCAGGCCGATGTCTTCGAATGAGGAATGTTTTAGTAATAGGAGTCTTCTCCTCTGCTTGGGGACGCTGGGGAGTGTGGAGCTATAGAAATAGGACAGAGACCCCCACTGAGACTAATTGGGGTGCTTGACCCATCTCCACCCTTCTAATTCTGCTGGGAATTGCATATGGGAGAGAGGACTTCCTCACGGTCCAATAAAGTCCTGACTCCGCATTTTAGCTCCTCCCTGTAAAGGCATGGACCAAAGCACTAAAGACATCAGATTAGGTGAAGTCTGACCTACCCTGACTGCAGTCCTGATGGGGCTGGGAAGGACCTCAGGGGGAGGAATTCCCAGCTCAGCAGCAGGTGCTACCTCTTGTAGGGTCTGGCTTGGGTTTTAGGAGGGGAAAATAGTATTTTTTCAAATATGTGGAATTCTTAAATATTAGGAGTGTGATCCCAAACAGGCCAGATGGTTCATTCTGACATCTGGAAGAGATTATTCTGTAATCCTCTGCTTTTGGGATTTGGTCCTGATGAGTTGACACCAGAAGTAGGACAGGGCCACAGGGAACAAATGCAGGGCTCCTGTAGCTTGTTTCTACCCAAATAAATGGTGCAGGATCCCTTGTCTATCCAGAGTAAAAGGGAAGCTTCAGTGAAGACAGCTGCTCCCACCAACAGAGGACCACCAAGCTTTGCACCCACCTTCTCCAGGTCTTCCACCTTAATTGCCAGAGCCTGGATTTCATCTCCTTGCAGGACAGAGATGAAAGGCTCAGGCTCCTCTTGGATTGGTGGGGAAGGCTGATCAAATGTTCTGGCCTTCTTCTTATCTGAAACACAAATACCAGGAAGGACAGTGACTTCTGCTCCTGGCCCAACAACAATGTCCTGAAGTCAGAAGTGGTCTTCAAAATACATGGAAAACTAAAATTCAGCATCTCCTGTGCTGAACACATCTTAACTGTCTGAGAACCCAGGGAAAAGGAGAGGTTAATCACCTTGTCTCCTTTCAGCTGGTTTAGGCATAAGGAGGGAAATTTTTAGGAAGCCTCTTTTCAGCACTTAGCAAAATGGAATGAAAAAAAAAAGAAACTCACTGCAAAATGGAAAGGGAAAAAAGGAAACATTCATGTGGTCACTCAAACATTGCATTAGGGCTCCTCAGAGCGCAGCTGGGTGTACAAAACGGCAAGGCTTTTAAAATATTTATGAAGGCGACTTTTTGCCGCTCACAAATGTACATTATTCATCACAACCTTGCTCACGAAAACAGACGGCCTTCCACTTCTGCCCTGAGCTAGGGGCTCCCTCGCTGCCATCTGTGCACTCCCCAGTGTTGTGCCTATTCGGTCCCTCTGCTCCTTCTAAAGCAGTGATTCTCAGCAAGGGTGCCACAGCACCCCAGGGTGCCTTGAGATCATTTCAAGGGTGCTTCGGGATGCTGCGCAATGTTAGCACTGTTAGGTGTACAAACATGATTATAAGGTAAACCCGAAGATTTCAAACAGGGCAATAAAAATGCTCTGAACTGCTACGATCTGTCGGAGTTCTCCACAACAGAAGAACTGCTCTAGTCTTTTTCTGTAGTCAAAACCCTAAAGGGTTGGGGGCACAGGTGATGTTCTCATCAATCCTCCCAGTCTCGGGCTATGGGGTGAGGAGGATCCAGGTAGTCAACCAAAGACTGCGGCACTGGCGTTATCGGGAAGGCTTCAGCTTCCATGACCACAGCCCGCTCTTTGGTGAGAGGGGCAGCGAGCTGCTGGGAAGGGACGGCCTCCACCTCTCTCCGCTGGGGAGGAGGCTCTTCTCAGCCAGACTGGCTGACCTGCTCCACCGGGCTTTAAACTAAGCCCGCCGGGGGACGGGGGGGGATTACCGCCACTGCTTGCCCACTGAGCAACCCTTGCAAAGCCGGCAGGCCAAGTCATTTAAGGGATCCCACCCCTGCCCCAGCCTTGCAACAAACTGTAGACAGGGCAAGGGTCCCCAAGGGGACACTTGTGAGCCTATACACACATGCTGGGAGCCTGGGAAATAAACAGGAGGAACTTGTCCTCTTGCTAAAGGCAAATAAATACGATGTCATAGGGATAATGGAGACCTGGTGGGACTCCACCCATGAGTGAACCATGGGTATAGACAGCTATACCCTGCACAGGAGGGATTGAGTGGACAAAAGGGGCAGGGGCGTAGCTCTCTATGTCAAGGAAAGCTGTGCATCCCTGCAAGCCAATGTTGGCACCCACGGTGGATGACTTGAGACCCTCTGGGTTAAAATCCATGGGGAACATGTCACAGGGGATACTATGGTGGGGGTCCACTACAGACCCCCTACCCAGGGTCAAGACCTTGACTAGGAGTTCACCAGGGAATTGCCTGAGGCTGTACACTCCTGGTGCATGATTGTCATGGGAGACTTTACCCGGACATCTCGTGGGAGGAGCGCTCGGCCAAATCCGAATGGTCGCAAAGCTTCCTATCATGCGTGGATGACCTCTACCTGATGCAGGAAGTCTACGGGCCGACGAGAGGTAAAGCGCTGCTTGACCTGGTACTGGCAACCAGGGACAACCTAATCAGCAACATAACGATTGAAGGGACGCTGGGTGACACTGACCACAAGCTGATCACCTTCACCATCCGACATAAAGCTGGCAAGTCAGTCAGTAATACAGAAGTCCTTGACTTCAGGAAAGCTGACTTCGACAAGCTAAGAAGGCTTGTCAGTGAGGCCCCCAAGGGCTACAACCCAAGTGGGAGGGGAGTCCAGGACAAGTGGTTGCTCCTAAAGGGAGCAATCCTGGATGCACAAGCAAAGTCCATCCCATCTCAGAGGAAAGGCAGCAAAAGGGCACAGCAGCCCCCTTGGCTCTCCAGGGAACTAGCGGACCTCCTGAGTCTTAAAAGGAAGACCTACAAAGGATGGAGGACTGGAACCACCACCAAGGAGGAATACTCTGGTCTGGTCCGGTCCTGCAGGGAGCAAACCAGGAAAGCCAAGGCTGTGACTGAACTCCAGCTGGCTACAAATATCAAGGACAATAAAAAGTCCTTTTTTAGATATGTGGGGAGCAGAAGCAAGGGCAACACTGGACCCCTGCTAAACCAAAAGGGAGAACTGACAACTGATGCCCAGGAAAAAGCCAACTTGCTAAACGGGTACTTTGCATCAGTCTTTCACAAGTCCCATGGGATGCCCCTGCCCACTGTGGGTCAGGGAGGCCTGAGTGAGGAAGATTCCTTGCCCTCCATTGAAGCTGACCTCGTGAAGGAACAAGTCAGCCGGCCCTGATGGTTTACACCCAAGGGTACTCAAGGAGCTGGCAAGCATCATAGCTCAGCCCCTGGCATGGATCTCCAAGAGCTCCTGGCGCTCTGGTGAAGCGCCCGAAGACTGGAAGAAGGCCAATGTGGTGCCTATTTTCAAGAAAGGGAGGAAAGTGGACCCGGCAAACTACAGGCCCATCAGCCTGACCTCTATCCCGGGGAAGGTCTTGGAAAAGCTTATCAAAGAGGCCATTCTTAACAGACTAACTGACGGCAACATCCTGAGGGACAGCCAGTATGGGTTTGTTACGGGTAGGTCTTGCTTGACCAATCTCATTTCCTTTTATGACCAGATGACCTATCACCTGGACAAGGGGGAAGAGATTGACATCATATATCTTGACTTCAAAAAGGCCTTCGATCTGGTATCCCATGATCACCTCTTGGCAAAACTGGC